TCTATATATTTCTGTCTCTATCTGCAGCTCAGTGAGCATTCTGTCATTTACTGGATCAGCTTAATAAACTCCAAGAAGCCACATCAGCAGGCAAAATAAAAGGCCAAACGATTTAATGGGAAAAGAAGGCGTGGAGTCATGTTCCTAATATGGCAATATGGAAGAAAATAATAACAGGGAATGATTGTATGTTAATTAAATAGGAATCATTTGCACTTCTTTACAAGTGTTTGATGCAAGGAAAAAAAGATTATTGCCATAAGCCCCCGTCCTTCATCAATCCCAGGCTGCTGTTGTCTCCCCCTGTCGATGGCTGTGTGTGTGTTTTATAACGACAAAACCCTCCATGAAATGACAGAGTTTAAATAACAACTCTTCATGGAGGATGAAGCCACCATGACCTTTTCTCAATGACCCATCAGAAGATAATCGGTCTGGGAAACAGAGATCCTATTAGGGCTGTCACGATACTAAAGCTAGAGACTTAATATCGATACCCAGGAAATAATACGATACTCTATACTATTTTCAATACTATGGGGATAAAAAAAGCCAAATAATTTGAATGGAAAATATATGTATATTTCTTAACAAGAAGTCTCAGTTTTTAATCTCAACATGCATTCTCAACAAAATTATAGATTCTAAAAGTTAAAAAATTGCTGAAAGATTAAAAATCATATATTAAGGTTAATTGAGGTGCTATTCTTTTAATTTGAAAGTAATCTAGAAATCTAAAACTAACAATAGCCAAAAATATTAACACAACATTTAGTATCCAGACCATTTCAAGGTATTATTGTATTTGGATACCATGTTAGAATATCAATACTTTTAATAAGCCTACTATTGGCTTTGAAATAATGTTATTTGAAATAAATCAAACAGTTGAAAGCCTCCTTTATGAAGGAGACAAAGGTTGAAGGTCACACTACAAACAAGTACTAGATCTCAATCATATACAGTAGAGAGCATTTGACCTAAAAGGTTTGGAAACTGTCTACCTTTCCTTCACTGAGAGGAATCACCAAAAACCTTTTTTTTTCCCAGACAAAATCTATTTAGTTTAAATACTGTTGAGCAAGAAAAAACCCTGTCAACAATAAATGGTTATTTTATTTGCTTGTTTTTCATGGGAACAAAACTGATGTTCCCTGCCCCCAGTATTATTTTGGTTGGAGCAAAAAAGGTTGGATCAGAAGTACCTTAATGGTCCCATTAGTAAGGAAAGTGAATTATAGGTCAAGCTGACTTCTCCTCTGCCAAACTGTGGTGGAACCTAAATTAAACTCCACCAAAAGCAAACCAATCTCTTTCTTCTCCACATTCATTCATTCTGAATTCCCTTTAACTCTGGATTTGCACAACAATTCGATTTTATTATCTTGTTTTGACAAGTGTTAATTTGTTTCCAGTATCTTGTTTTTTGGGTCATAATTAATGTCTGATGACAAGGTTTTGATAGAAGCAGACAGTTGAGTCAACCCAAACCCCTCATTACTGCAGATGTTGCTCTGTTCCTTCCATCCATCTCAGGCTTCATGATCCTATCACTATTTAACAAAACACTGAAACTAATTGACCTGAGGAAAAAAAATCTCTAACTTGAAGATAAACATACTTTAGAAAACAAACCCTCCCTTGTATTTGCTCAGAATATTCCTACAAGCTTCATTATGCTTACCACAATAAAACCCAAAAACTAGACCTCAGCAAATTCTTTGATTGTCCCAGAAGATTAAATCCCCTTGTTAAAATATTTTTGAGGCAGAAATGCCAGAAGAATGTGATCTGATATTTTATCCAACTCTGGGTATCAGTACCTCAGTAGCTCTGGCTGGCCTGTAGGGGGCGCAGCATGCCAAGGAGAAGATGTATGAAGCCAGATGTAAGAGTGAACCTGTGGCCTGGGCTCAGACACTTACAGTAATAAAGTGTTAGTGTGAGAATAACACACTGCTGTAGTCTGTAAGGGCTGAACGGTGTGTGTGTGTGTGTGTGTGGGGGTGTGTGTGTGCAGACCTCCTACATCAAGCATCACACCTCGGATGAAAACTGACTGGGTGACAACAGAATGGATGAGAGACGTCAGGAGGTGAAACAAAGGCCTGCAGGAAGCAAATTAATGACCAATTTGCTGCTCCATCCGCTGGTTTATTTGAAGCACTTTAAATCTTTGACAGAATACCAACTAAAGCCCCTAAAAACCTCCCAGTACGACTCAGCTTTGCTGACAAATCCAACATGCATCTAAATGATCTGTACATCTGCTTATTGAACTTCATTTTCTCAATATTATCCTTTTTTACAGTCTTCAATTTTTCCTTTTTATTTTAGATTATTTTCCTTGAGCAGGTTTCATACTTTCATGTGTTTAAACTCTTTAAAAAGTAAATCCTGTTACTGTTCTAACTTCCTAACTGATTTCTAAGGGGACTCTATATTTTTTGTCGTTTTCTGGAAACATGCTTAGAGAAAATTATTCATATTCTAAGAGCAAATTGACATTTCATCTAAACCAACATTTTACTTTTTAATATTTTAATTGGGAGGGAAAAACTGATTTGTTTAGTTTATTAAAACCTGCCAAGATGTTATAACAATGATTTCAAAGAAGTATAAAAAAAATTAAAAATAAATACCGGTTTCCTATAAAGAATGATGACATCTTATCTTTCTACAGTATTTTAAAAGACATGTATGATCAGCCTAATGTGGAATAGACATAATTTGGCCTTTGCCATTTATTAATAAATACATTTATCAAACTTTTTTTTATAATTGGAAATGGGTGATAGAATTAGAAGATAAAGGACATATTTTTCTTATTTTAAAACACATCTCGACTCTGAAGGAGGTGCCATTTTCCAGACAAAGACATTCACTCACGTCAGCAGAGACGGTTAAATTAATTGTCTGGTTTGAAACAAAGAGTGACGTCTGAACAACTGGAAGCTGAAAAGAAGAGGAAAGAGGGAGGGAAGAACCAACAGTACCATAAGAGATGGAGAGGAGCTAAGGTGGGGCGTTCTGTAATGAATGTATGAATAGACAGATGAAAATAATCCAAATCCACAGAACTGAGCCTCAGTAACAGAACAAGCAAGAAGGTCTCTGTCTCCTGTGGGATTATACATTTCTTTTTTTTTTTTTTTATAACGACCCAAAGCTAAAACAGTAGCACTTTTAAAGGGTAAAATAAATGAAGAAATGTGGGCAGAAAAAGAAATGAGTCAATGTTTCCCAAGTAGCTGCCAAGTAGCTACAATACTAATATAAAATTGAATGTAATGGCAGCGTTAAAAGGCTCACTCCTTGACATATTTAAGCAAAACGTGTCAATCCACAAAACATGAACATGGAAATATTCAATAGAGGCATAGAAGAGCAACAGGGAGTCTTCTTTTTTGCAAAAAATCATATAATTGACATACATAATTTGGGTTTCCTGACTGAAAATATGATTTTCTTAATCATTTACCAGAATGTCTTTTTAAATTCCCCCACAGTTTTGATGTCTTTGATTTGTTGAGTGAAAGCAGCAGCAGGGGTGATTCATTAAATAACTGATCATCATCAATGTGACTATTTCTATCCAAAGCAGATGTTCGGGCAGTTTGCTGCTCAGTAGTACACAGAGATGACCACCCAACGCTAAGCTGGAAGGACGTCAGCAATGACCTTAAAGATGCAGCTGCTGCGGTCCATTGATCTGGGAAGGGTTATAAGGTCGTCATTCTACAGGGAGAAGGCGTCTGCAGAGGCGGAAAACGCCTAAGATAGCTGCCAATCTTCTCAGGAGCAGACAAATCTGTAGATTCCTTTCAAGGTCCAATACGTACAGTGTTGGTAAAGGTTAAGGTTCATTTGAGGATAATCAGAAAAACTTTAACTGAAGGGAAAAGCTTTACTCTCCCAACCAGGTCCAAAAGGCATTTCTGAAAGAAGCTCTTCTGGAGCAGGTGAGACCAAATTAGCTGTGTTTGGCTGTAGTTGGTGACAAATAAGGTGGCATATAAACCTTGTACAGTATCACAATGGTAAAGGAGGGATTACGGTCCGGGCTCATTCTGAAGCAACAAGTTCTGATTATCTTACAGTCATTAATTTCTCTGAATAACATCAATGTTCCAGAGGAAAACATTAGGCTGTCTTTCCAACAGCTGAAGCGGAGATCATCAGGACAATCATCCAAAGCACAACTAATCTACAGCTGAATGGCTGAAGAAGAAAAAAACTGCTGCAATGTCTTAGTTTGTGTCTGCGTAAGAGCTTTAGGGCTTGTTATATTTTAGCAGAAGACTAAAATAGCAGCATGGAGCGAATTTACTGAGATGTTTGCTCCTGAGAAGTTTGCCAGTAGGGCCGGAACAGTTAATCGGTTAATCGTGATTAATTTATGAATTATTGAAATAATCGTCAACTAATTTACTAATAGATTTATCATCAACTAGAGACTATAGACTTTAAAATCTGCCTCTAGCTGACAGAGCAACCCACTTAGAGCAGTAAATAAAACAAAATTGTATAAAAGAAACATTTTGCATTAAAAAGAAATGTTTCATCTTTGTAAATATATATTCTATCCAGAAGTCCTTAAGTGGAAAAGTTTCAGTTTCACCTGGTTTAATTTCGTAACAGGAATTTGTCTTCAAGGAATATTTGGCTAACCAATTAATAATCAAGTAATAGAAAAAATATTTGACAGATTAGTCAATTTGCAAAGTAATCGTCAGTCGCCCTAGTTGGCAGCTTACTGCTATGCTGTATTGAGGCTTTTGCAGAGCTGTATAGAACCCAATGACAGAAAAAGTTATTAACTGAAGTAGATATGGGGAAAAAAGGGTTCTGATTAAAAATGACTGCTGAATATTTTTGTCATTGAATGGACATCCAGAAACACCAGACATGAAAATTCCAGCATGGCTGCATTTCTTAGAAACCAGCTTCAGCTAAAAATATTCATCCACTGTAGTATTAGCTCATTGTAGGGTACTCACACCAACACAGGTCTGACAGCATTCTTCATGTTGCCATATGCTGCCCGGCCCAGCAGCTCCCTGAAGCAGTTCTCAGCCAACACCGCTGGGTTCTCCTCGCCATCCTGACCTGTCCCCGATGGGGTGCTGGGATGTCCTGCCCTGTGAGAGTGAAAGCAAATATGACTTCAGTATGAGAAAAACCCAGCAGAAAAAAAGGCAATCGAAGCAGGGAAATAGTCTTGTTAGTATAACAATTTCACTGAATAAAGTTAAAATGTCTGAGAAAGACAGAATTATGTAGCAACAACCTGCATTGGGGCCAGAATCAATACTTAATAACGCAGAGAGAGAAGCTGTGAGGAGAATGAGAGACTGCAGAGAGCAGGATGAAGAAAAGGAAAACCTCCAGGATATCAAAAAGAAGGGATGGAAGAGAGGCCGCTGTTCTGTCAGATCTGTAAATAAATTAGCCTACTTGACTTTCGGTATGATTTTCTGGTAAGTTTGTGTGTTTACCTTCAACTACAACTTTTTGGTTATCATATCACGCATAAATAAGGTAGCCTAGTGGACCTCCTTCCACAGAAGAGAGAGAAGATACAAAAAGGCTGAAAAAATTCAGGGGAGCTGAAAAAAAAAAAGAAAAATTAAATAAAGGTATTAAGCAGTCTGATAAGAAACGTGCGAGTTAATATATTAAGTAAAGCTAAAAGTCAGCAAAATGGGATGTTAAATCTAAAAAATGATGACCCAACCACCAATCGGAAACAATCTCCCTCCATGACCAAAGAACCATCTTTGTAACAGGACCAGAATGCTTTGAAGTCTGACAGAAAGGTCAAAGTTCAGCTCATTTGTAGGTGGATGTTCAAAGCTGAGGTGTTAAAATCTAAGGTGTGCGAGCAGCTGCCAGAGTTCACATCACTTCTAGGATCGTCATCATTAGTGTCCTCTGGAGGAAACAGCAGCTCAAACTCAGGATGCTGCCTCTGCACAATGGCTGAGGCCACCAGGAGTCTGAACTCTCAGCACCAAACAAAACTCAAGCTCTATTTTATAAATACTTTTTCCCAGCTTTCATTTTTCAAGACCTGTTTGTGGCGGATCTAATGTTGGCAAATAAAAACTATTATAAAACTTTAACATGAAAACATAAAATTGCTGGTGCTCTACTGACTAGGATGTGATCGGTCCCTCTGCCATCTGAAAAATCGATTTCCTAAAGAATAACAACGATTGTATATGGGAAAAAAAGTTGAAACGACATTATTCTGTGCTGTTTAGTGGCACAGCCGTACTATTTAACATACTTGGTTTATTGCAGCAGCCTATCTGATGATGTCAGTTTTAATTTTATGCCAGTATTTGGGTTATTAGGGCTATGACCTAGAGCCAGATATAATATTGTGGCCCAAAATATTGTGATCAAATCTGAAGGCCATATTGCATACTCCATAAAGTGGGTCCAACTCGGTAAAATAAGCTCACCATAAGGCGCTACTGTAGTGAAAAAGGGAAACTTTTGGTAAAGATTGCATTAGTTTAGCACTGAAAGTGGTTTGTAGACGCATCAAAACAGAAGCTCAGCTAGACGCACTTTCATTGGGAAAGTAAAAGAAGGACAGAGGAGGAAAGACTAGTGGTTCTTGTTGGTCCTCTGTGCTAGAATGAAATGAGCCCACATTTGTTGAGCCCATTGAATGATTCCAGGTTCGGCAGCAGCCAGGCAGACAGAGGAAAACGGAAAGAAAATAGGGACAAATGTAATTGTAATTAATTGTAATCTAGACTGCCTACTTAGTGATATCCCAACAGCTAATAAACACACAGTAAATGGCTCAGTGTTTAATACAAACTGACACGCTATGAGAAAATACTTAGAGTCCAATAAGCTAGAAGCAAATAGTTGAAAACGTCAAACACTGCTGGTTTTTGGAAAATACATCTTTAAGATGTTATATGTGGAAAAACTCTATATTCCGTGGGTATGAAGACACAAGAATACTTTTATGTCAAACGTTTACTCTGAATAAAGAGTCATCAGTTCCCATTTATCAGGTAAGTGGTCCAGTAGTCCTTAATGATCCTTTCTCCACATATGCTGATGATCCTCCAGGGCTCTTCAAAGCCTCCAGTAATTTCTAGGTGTACCCTGGGTTTTCTTCCCAGTGAGACACATCTCCTAGACTTCTGAAGAAAACCATCCAGATCAAGCAGCCAAACCAACATAAATCCTAGAACAGTCAGCAGCACTAATGCCAAATCAAAGACCCTCTGGTTAAATATGTCACCAGTTCCCCAAGGCATACCGGGCAACTGGAACGACAATGAAGGGAACCATTTTCAGTTGCTAATATCCGGGATTTTGACATCTCACAATGTCCATACCCATTTACCATAGGTATGACTTACAAATGACTACAGCTGAAGTTCTGGTTTGTCTATATTGTCTAGAATTCCCCAGTTCAATCAGAGTACTGCATAAAAACAAGAAGCACAGGCTGGGTTAGCGCCTGGACGTTTCAGTGAGGAGAAGTTCTAGGAACTCAGTGAAACAAGGTCACAGGGAGCAGGTAATCTTTCCTATTAGGAAGGGTTTGGCAGTTAAAGTTCCCGAGGGCCGGTATCCTGCAACTTTTAGATCCATCCTTAGTCCTGAATCAATTGGCAGTTACCTCCTCAGTAAAGTCCGTTCCCCCAGAGTGAGTCCTCTCAATTATCTAATTACTTGATATAGGTGTGTTGCAGCATAGGCACATCTAAAAGTTGCAGGATACCAGCCTTTAGGAACTGGAATTGGCCACCCCTGTTGTAAAGGAATAAGGGGGAATCACCTGATATTAGGCCTGAGAGGAACTCATCAGCCAAAGCCTGGGGCTCAACGCTTGGAACCTGATGCTTGACCGCATTTAGCCAAAAAACACTACAGGAGACGTTCCTTAGACCAACAGGGGTGGAGGGGGTCAGGGAGCAGAGGTCTGTACTGGGTGCCAAGTGATTGCCCAATGAACCTCAGTGTCATGATTAGGGTAACTCTAAATCAAATACTAATTAGTATAATTTCCTGCTTCTGTTTTCCAGATTGAGTCACAATAATTGGTCAAAAGCAGTCCGAAGAAATGCATTTTTTCTGTTTTCCAAACCTCTCGTACAGATTGTCTCAGTGAGCCGCCTTGTTGATCACTGAGCACCAAACAAAGACGACAAAGAAAATCCTGCAAGTAGTTCCAGTCTTTACGGGCCCGTATTTCCGCCTTCATCCTTACAGCAGCCAGAGCCATTTGTTACTTTGATAAAACAACGTAAAGGTAAATCACTTCCCCAGTAGAGAGCCCGGTCACATATGGACTCCAGGCAGCCGCGTCTCAAGAGGGAAACAAAGCAATTACTGTCAGCCCACACAAGCAGTTCATGGGAAATTAAATGCTTATTGCTTGTTAGAAGTGTGGAAATGATAGACAAAAATGAAACCCCTGCTGTAATTGAAGGTGGATTGTCATGGTTTAATAAAGTAGTAAAATTAAGCTTTCTTCTATGTTTTTGCTTCTGGGTAAGAAGTGTTAAAAATGGTGTAAAACAGAAAAGAAATTATAGTCTGAATTTATCAAATGACAGATGTGACACATGATGCAAGAAGGAAAGAAAGATCTAACAGGAAAGCTGGACTTTAACTCTTATTGCTTTTGCATCTAGAATAAATTAATCTTAACCAAATTTTTTAATTTTGAATCATCTTAAAACTAAATGGATCCAATTTATGCAATCTTTAAAGGGACGTTGTGTGACAAATTTGCCTTTTTACTTGCAAAATTGAAGAAATGCTTAAAAAAAATTCACCTTTTATGAAAATCTAAAAACATCACATCAGAAACCAAACTGATCTCATAGCTTAGAACTAGTAGTTAAAAACTCATAGGGGGCAGGACAGGCGATGGGAGAGGCCATGTTTCCTCGCCAATTTTGATCGGAGTATCCGAAAGGGGAAAACACTTCTCATCCTACATATTTTACTCATATATGGAAACTTGCAGTCAGTGGCGGAGGAGTTTTTAACGAGCAAAAACAACTGTAGTTCATTCTGCCTGCCACTTTATGTTCCAGTGGAAGAACATTCATGCTATTTTTCAGAAAGGCAAGAGACATAACCAAAAAGAGAAAAATAATAACGAGTCTAACATCAGCACAGCTTTTACAATGCGGAGACAACTTATGACAGGGCAGGGCTTCAAAATGGAAACGGGGTACCAAGCTTTAACTGGACAGGTAAATCAACTAAATAAAAACATTGGTCCATCCAAATTCTGCTTATCAGGGGCAGGGTCCTATTCGTTTGACCTTCCCAAAAGACCTCACCACGGAGGTGTCAAGGAGTAACGTTGAGAAGCAGCGGCTCTACTCAGACTCACTCGTCGACAGCTGAACTTCTCACTCTATCTCTAAGGGAAATCCCAGACACCCTGCAGAGAAAAAAATTTTTTTGGCCTCTTGTTTCCAAACTCTCAATCTTTTGGTCATGATGCAAAGCTCATGACCGCAGATGAGGGTAAGAAGGTAGATCGACCAGTAAATCGAGATTTTAACTTCAACTCTCCATTCACCATGACATATCAACAGAGCATGCTTTATTGTAGATGTTACACAATCTCCTGCTCTATTGTTCCCTCATTCATGAACAATCCTGAGACACCAACTCCTGCACTTGGGGTTGGACATCTTCAGCAACCTGGAGAAGGCACCCTACCCTTTCAAATCTCAAGACGATGGGTTTGGAAACACTGATCCACATCTGAGCCCCTGTAGACTAGGCTGTGAACCACTCCAGTGAGAGCAATAGATTACATAAGATTTCCTTCTCAAGCCCATCAAGTTGACTTTTCTGATGATCCAGTCCTGGTATTTGAGCTTCCTTATTGTTAGCAGTAGTGTCCTGCATGCAAAGCCATATTTGTGCAGTGGTCTTGGCATAATTGCTATTAAGGGCTGGTTATACTCCAGGAGCAGTGTGTCACAGTCAGCTCGTCGCAGATATTTTTGATTTATGCCCAATATTGAAGCATGGTCTGCGCTATGTTATTCCACGTCACAACGAAGAGGGACTATCAAGAACTAGCTGTGGGTCTAGATACGGCCAAGAAGTAGAGGAAAAGGGGGCAAGTTTGTGTGACAATGGAGGGACATGAGGGCGAAAATGAGCGGGAATCCAGGGGGAAAAAGGGTCCCAGTGTTCTCGCACACCTCGCTCTACTAGCTGGCCCAACTTCACGAGTCGTTTTCCACAATGGCGGTCTTAAAAACAAAACAAACCGGTAGGGTACCAAACAGGAAATACGCATAGTGTAGAGCGGATGTAGACCAATCAGAGGCCTCCTGTCTGTGGCACTTTTTGCGGTCAACTATAATTTTGGTCTGCGGAGGGGGCGGGGGCACATTTGCATTCACTGCGACACACATGCAGAGAACCTGGTTTCTGAGTATAAAGCAGCCCTCAGAGGGAAGCTTTGTAAGGTAGCGTCTTTTACAGGAAGCGGAACCATGAAGAGATTCCAGATGGACGGTTTCGATTAATGTTGTAGGGATAAAAGAACATCAAAGATTTAACTCCTGCTCTAAGTGAATACATTAAAACTACCTCCCTTCTTCATCCAGAGTCCATTTCTATTCACTGCCTGTTTGGGTTTTATCAGATATGAAGATGTTTACAGAAGCAAAGCTGAAGGGAAGGTTGTGTAGCAGCAAAGCAGATAATCAAACACACAGCAGCTGGAGGTCAAAGTCATTTTCAGGTGGACATCTTCATATCAGTCTTGGTGAGCGGACACTGGCTCTGTTTACGAGGTGGGAGACAAACACAGGCGGGGATTTAAGCGTCGAGACCAACAAAGCTTTTCCCTCGCTCCCTCTGCAGGCTGGACACGTCCACTGTCCCCAAGAAGCAATTAAGACAAATCCGACAGCCTTGACTGCCGCCGTCCATCAGACCCACGTAGGATTCAGTAGAAATCCCTCAACACTGATCCAGGGGGTAAACTAACCACGGCTGCAACAGGCAACAATCTTATCCTAAAATGCTTTGTTTGTTCAGGGTGGAAAAAAAACAACAGCACAGTTCTTTTCCTATCCATCCTCCACCCTCAGAGGCAGACATGTTTTATGGTGAATGGAAAGTCTCCCGGTGGACGACTGAACCACAGAAAAATTCCTCATTAATGTACCAAACACTTTTTTTTAGGGTTTTGAGAAGATTCAGCTAATAAATCCATCAATCTGAATTCAAAGATGTAAAGTCAAAAAGTCAAGTCTATATTAATGCTATTAGAATCACAGCCAGTTTGTGTCAAAGAGAAGTGAGGCTCCACATATAAGAGACCAAGAAGGCCACATTAGCTCAGATCGTCATTTGAAAACAGCTCCTGCTGAGTGTTTGAAACACTAACAGCAGTATGCTGCAAAGCAATCAACACCAAGTTACCATTGTTTTTTATTTCCCACCCTGATTCTACAAACACAGAGCTGCAGAAGCTCGCAGGTCTGTTACTGAGCAGATCCCAGAGCTGCAGCTAAATCCCATACGGCTGAGATCAGCTGGGAAACACATGAAGACCTCAGACCAGAGCAAAAAATGATTCAGTTTAAAGAAGAACTTTGAAGTTTAAATTTGGGCTAGGCGATTATCTGCTGACTGGAGGTGAAACCCATGGGTCTAAATTTCAGCAGGTGGACGCAAAGATGCTTAGCACATAACAGAACGACGCAACAAGGCATCCCCGACTTTGGAGCAAATTTCTCATTTCATCCTGGAAGGACGTCCTCTCTGGATGTGGAAAAAGAAAAGTCAGTAGAGGAAAGAAATAAGAAAGCAGCCCAGAAAGAAGAACAGGAGAGGATCCAAAAATAGATTTTAGTTCACATGGAAACCAAACGGATGAAATAAGAAGGAACGAGGGAAATGAGAGAAAGGAGGGAAACAAGGTGATCTATGATGAAGAGATGAAGATATGTAAAGAAAATGGTGAAGCTGATTACAGGTCAAAAAGCACTGAAAGCAAAGCAGAGTTTCTGTTATCAATATTTCAAATAAATCTCACTTTAGAATAGATGCACGTGTCTGTGTTTCTGTCCAGTCCTAAAAGTAAGATTACAATAAACTTGAAATTTTCAAAACTTTAAAACCTTCAATATGAGGAAATGAGGATTAATAAAAACAAATAGGAAAATTAAGGAAACCTTGCCCTCAGCTTTTAATACAGAAGCTGCAAAGATATTATTGGCATATGCTTCACTTTGGCACACAATTAAAACTACAATTATTTATACCCAAAAGATTAGCTAAAAGACTTAACTTTAAAGTCTTTTAGATTAATGATTCTGCCTGGGAATCATTAACATTCTGGATGGGGGAGAAAGCTGAAGATTAGGGTGATGCCAAGGATGCCCTAAAGTTTGCTAGCAAACAAAGTTAAAAAGAAACTAAGTTTTAAAAAAAAAAACAACCCCAAAAAAAACAAAAGTAAAAAAAAAATAAAGGTTTATTAATTTTATGATATTTTGAAGCTAATATGTAAAAAGATCTTAATCATTCTGGAACATTAAAACCTATTGAAAATATTGTGCAAACAGAAAAATTTGTTTATTTTTTAGAATTAAACCTGCTTTTCCATTTTTATGCTTTTAGAGATGCTTATCAAGACAAAACTTCATATGGTAATTAAAACAATGTCACATCAAAATCCGTCAGGGGTATGAATCATTTTAGGCACAAGACTTACTGCAGCAGTATGACCAGAGCCCAGGCTTAAACCAGAGAGTATTCCTTCATCACAGACCTCCATCACAAGCTTTGATGATTCTAACTCTGGACTGTGCAGCCTCACATTTAAAAACCTTAGAAAGTTTGGATATTGTTTGCCTACTAATATTTAATGGGAGCCATAGTATAAAGGAATTGTCTTCCGATAAGAAAACTAAATATTTATTTTTCATGCTTGAATGTGATGCAGTTTGTTGAGTTCTAGTTAATTCTCTTCTCATCCATTTGCAAGGTCATGATTTCTGTTGTATATTTCCATAACTCACTAATTGAACCACATAGAACAGCTGGCAAAAAAAAGACCAAAGATTAGCAGCATCAATCTTTCCTCCTGAATCTCAAAATGAACTGCAGACCTCGTGCAGGAACACGTAGTGTCAGAGAGCTCTCAGGAACAATGCAGCTTCAGGATTTAGAAGCTTTTGTTATCTGCACAATGACCCAGATCCGGATGAAAGTTAGGAGGTCTGGGGTTTGGGCATATGATGACGGGGATTACTCCAGACAGAGGATAGGAAACTGTACCAGATACACCCAAAGAGATGTGACTGGAGCTAATGGAACATTTTATTTTGGATCCAAAGTATCCTGAAAGTTCATGGGAATTTTTAAAGCAGACCAAACGAAGATGGTGTAAACTCTGCACTGCTAGAAAACTGAAAACATCAGCAGAAACAGATGTAGGTGGGAAAAAAAAACAACCTTAGATACTTATCCATTAGTTAGAAATGTGTGTCATGTGAGGACGCCTCTGACAAACAAACAGAACCTCAGTGTGGAGTTCAGTACCTGTCCAGGTCCTCAGCGTCCTGCATGTTGAACAGCATGGAGGGAATCAGCTTTTCCATGTGCTGAGGCTCCCAGATGATGGCCTGCAGCTCATCGTTCACAGTCTTCCTCACCACACCCTGAAGACCTTTGATCCCAGCAACACGGATCCTGAGAACAGATACAGGAGATCTCAGACTGTTTGGTAAGATGAAGCATTGGAGGTTATTTCCTGTACACTGGAAGTTTGTACTTATATAAAATGGCCGATTTTTATTAAGACAGATTTAACACGACAGAGCTAAAGAGCTAAAGAAAAGCAGAAAATCTGACTAAATGAATTTTCTCTTGAGTAAAACACTGAAATATTTTAGGTCCTATTTTATCTTTGAAGTCTGGACCAAACTGATTAATTCAAGTCATTTTGTTTAAATTTCGCTGAAATAAATGTTTGCTAAAAAAAAAAATTCATCTGACATTCTGTCAGCATTAATATGTTGAAAAAAGAAAAAGATAATTAGGCAAAAAGAAAAAGATTTTCTTCCAGCAGCAAAGCTTCACACCTTGATTCTTGTTGTGAAATGTGAAAAACGAGAATATATATTTAAATGAGACTGATCTGCTTAAACTTCATAGGTCAGGAAATGGCAATAGTCAGCTAAACCAGCTATATCTACAGTCAAAGCCACAATAAACATCTTTTTTTTGTTTTGTTTTTAGAACTGGAACAGACAAGGCTGGATCACTGACACTGCTGCCCAGGAGACATCCTGGGGCCACTGAGGCTCCATAAAGACCATCTAAAGGTCCAGAGAACCTTGCTGAAGTTCACAGAATCATCACCTCATTCACTACCAAGAACAAATAAATAAGTACCGGTAATAAACATCCAGAGGTTTTTAGGAGTTGGGCTGAAGTAATTAAATGTGATTCATTATTTATTGGAATAATTTCATTAATTAAACACTCGTTAACCAAAGTGCACAGACTCTAAAAGATTTAATAACAAAACAGGAAACTCAAAGCAGTAATTAAACCAAAAAACATTAATAAAACTAGAAAAGCAATCAGAGAGCACACATCTCTGCCAAGCAGAAAATGTTGCACCATATTGTGACTTTTAGCTTTAGCTAATACTCACATGATTTGGATCATTACCATATTTTAATGACTTGTTCCTTGGCATGAGGTGCACCTTTGGTAAAAATTGTTCTTAAAAATCCTTTCATATGTTTCTAATTAAGGCCCAGCATGTTTCTGCAGCCTCTGGTGTCTGTTCTGCGAGGCATGGCTCACCTTTCCTGTGTTTTTAACTTCAGCATAATGCTTCTAGACTTTTTGGATTTGGGTGCTAAAGCTGTCAATAAGCACTGCTGCCACCCTCTGGTTTAGGAGGGTTCTGCCGAATAATGTTAAAGAATACAAAAAAAAAATTCCTGCATCCGCTTCATAATCATGATGCGGATGCAGGAATTTTTTTTTTTGTATCATCACCAAAATTGTATGAAGTCTTTATGATTTCTATAGGCAGGTTTACCACAATAGTAGATTCAAACCCTGAAATTATGGCTTTTAGTTTCAATGTGCCACCCCAAGATTTTTAGTGGGGCCATCTGGCTCCCCCTATGAAACATTTGTGGATGTGCCACTGACTGAGGCTCACCTTTGATAAAATTGCATTAAAATCTGTTTATTCAAGTTATCCTGTACAAAGAAAGACAGACAAAAAAAATTGACTAAAAACACTACTTGACAGAGATAAAAAGAAACTTTTGTCTTTAGATGGTTTGTATCTGGTGTTGTCAGATGAGCATACCCAGTCAGACCAGCATACCCACAGTCAAAACCAGTTTATCTCTTTAGTTTTGTACAAAAAATAAACTAAACTACTTAAACAGGCGTGTATCCCTCTTGTCATGTACAATAATACAATCAAATGTCTTACTTGTTGGTGTTTTTTTAAGCATATGGTGCTCTTACCTAAAATTGTTTTTTTGTGCATTACTACAGGGATACACCAAGGTGAGATAGTTTAAAGTCTATTTTTCGAACAAAGCTGAAGGGATAAATGCTGGTCTGACAGGGTATGCTCATCTCACAGAACACCGGAACTCAAGCACCAAAACTCAAAGACAAAATCTCTCACCTCAATCTCGCACCTTTTTCTATCTATTCATTTTTTCCGTTATTAAAAAGTTGTCAACGGATTTATTGATTGCAAAAGTAATTCTGCCACTTGTTAAATTTTCCATTTTGCCAAACAAGGAGATTACTTTGTTTATTCAGGCTTGTTATTTACTCAGAGCATCGCTTCTTAGATCAATTGATAAATCTATATAATTATTGATAGACTAATTGATATCTTACAAAAAAAATGATAGTTGCAACTTTAATTTAATTAATTTTTTATTTGATTAACTGTAAAACAGGCTCTCAGTTCAGAGAACAGGAAAAAAAACAAGAAAGCAATCCTCTCTCCTCTCTGACCTTTATTCTGTGGAAAACTTCATGCCCTCCTCCAGGATGTGGAGGAATAGTTGATTCGGAAGAGACGGGCTTAAAAACAAAAGCTTAAACCTTTGTAAACCTGATGACTCGTGGTTAATTGTTGAAACATATTTAGAAAAGCTCAGCAAAAGTCCAGCTGCTTTTGATTCAAACCTGTTCTGTTTGCTATGGCCTGGATGACACAGGCAGGATTCAGAAAGATGTCTAATGTCGGTAAAGAACACAGCTCTGCTGCACTGGAACAAACAGACGGCTCAGTTACATTGAAAGCATTGGATGGTTTTCTTTGGGCTCTTGGTTCGGTACCATCACTCTGCAAGACGCAAAAGTCCAAGCCGCCTCTTTGATGTGTTTTCTAAAACAACTGGACCTCCTGCTGAGCCTCAGTTTGGAAAAGTTACACAGGCCGACTAGTGGGATACTACGTGCTCCGTCTCATGCTGGGGACCCGTTGGGTCAGGGGCCCTTCCTGTGCAGCCTGTCGGACCCAGAGGAGTAGACCAACCTTTGTCCCCCAGATTCATCTGAGTCACGGGATGAGAGGATTAACTTTCTGAATCCTGCAGTAACACCAGACACCAGCTTCAGAACGTCGTCTAATCTGCAGCTTTTCTTATATGATGGTGACAAGACTTCTTGGCATGATGTAAAAGTTTGTTAAACTGAATTAAACAGAACTTTCCTTACTGTGAATTAATTAAAATTTTATTTAACTAATAAATAACTAGAGAGGAAAACTGATTTCATTAGTCTTGAAATGACTGTCAGTGTTGATTGAACTGGGATATTTTAATTGAATTTTTAATTGCATTTAATTAAACTAATCTCATTTAACTGGAATAGTCGAAAGGTTTTAGGTGTGTAAACCTGTAGTAGACAAATAAAAGTTAATTATAACTAAAGTTAGCTCAAAAACTTTCATGTTTTTTTTGTTGGTATAAAAGTTTGGGTCTGACACAAAGTGTTAACCAGCCACTTATTCCCCAATCATTGCACCAGACTGGGTCTGCAGAACCCGGATGGTCCCAGATGTTTGGACCAGTCAAAAGGTACAATGCTTTTTACCTTTCAGCTTTGGACATAAAAACTCTAAGAACAATTATACAAAAAAGAAGGGCAGGCGATCCCTCCTCAGGCATGTTCCAGCTGCTTCTCTTAAATCCTATTTGGGAATTCATCTCTACCACCTGAGACGCCACAAAAAAGAATAATGAAATACAGAAGAGTGCCGTCTATACTGCGAGGTATGAAATCGTATCTCAAAAATACCCCCAAACAGCATCCAAACCCCCCATCATACATACAAATAGAAATGAAAGTCCCATTTTCTGCCCAAATATCTCCACCACTCAGAGGTCTCAGCTGCCGTTTCAAAGGTTTACCAAACAATGTTAGCAGCTCTGAAGGTAGCTGGCTATTTTCCCAGTAAATGAGACAGGAGAGACTTCGGATATTGTTTCCAGCCTCTGCTCATCTTTATTAGAGTCAAAAGCCGACCCTGTCAGAAGGTGACAACCCACCGTGACCCACAATGCATCCATTCAAAAGCTATTTTTATTCTCCTCATAATAATAGGACTGGCAGTGTTGAGGAGCTTCATCTTCAAAACAATAAATGCTATATTTAATTTATGTGCTAAATCAGTCTTATTGAATAAAATAAAAGCAGCTTATTATGTTTTATTCATTTCAATATAAACATATGAGAATAAAAAGATTATTACTTTGAACATAATATTTACTTTCACTGCCATGGTCGGCTTTAGAGTCACGCTCCTAGAAAATAAAAGCAACAGGGAAAAATCCAAATTTTCTTCTAAACTTTAAATCTGGAAGCAACGGAACTGGTGGTGAGCAGGGAGTTTTACTCTGTTCACCAAAGTTCTGCCAAGAAATTACATTCCTAAACCAACACCCACACACAGTTATTCAACTTGGACAGGAAAATAAACAATAGAAACACAAATGCAACATCAAGTAAGTATGTTAAATAACATCTCATGAAGGAATACAGAGGAGGGAAAATGTGAGGACCCAAGTAACCAACCCTGCAGAATTCCGGACATAATACATGCCTTGGATAAAATCAAACATCAGTCAACCTTTTTATTGCAGCATTTAAGTTTGAATATTATCTCTCTAATAATTTGAATAAACATTTACCAAATTTTACTGTAAAATGCAAAAACATTCAACATAATTTTTTATCCAGTACTTTCTTCAGAAATATTTGCAATATGTAATAGATAAAAGTAAAATGATCTGATTATCTTTAAAAGATCTGTCTATAGTTTTGATTTAAATGCTATTAAACTTAAATGTTACATCAAAAACATTTTGTTTTTAAACCAATAATGAGTAACTGTTCAAACTTTTGTGATTAGAGGTTGAATTACAGTTGAAGGACACCTCTCTTATTCAACCTCTGTCATGGCCCGCTTTTTCCGACACTAAGCAGATTAAAGAGGGTGGTAATAACCCTGCCACATCAAACTATAAATGCGCAGACTGCTTTACGGAATACGCCACTTCCACATCGGGAACAACGATAGAAGTTGATGCGTACAAGTTTCCCTTAGTGACTGTATTTGCATTAATATAGTACAAAAAAAGATAAATGTTTCTTATTTTCAGCGTCGTCTTAAATATAACATTTTTTCACCT